TTATCACATGAGTTTCAGGCAATGGTCTTTTATTGATCTGCTTTGTAATGACCAAATCCTGAGATTGGGATTCGTCAACCTGGTAGTAAGGAGAGAACTTCAAAACTAGGTTTTATTTCTATACCATTAATAAAATTTTAGAAAAAGAAAGGTGTGTGATATTTTAAAAGAAAGAAAGAAAGAAAGAAAGAAAGAAAGAAAGAAAGAAAGAAAGAAAGAAAGAAAATTTGACAAAAAAAAAATTAAAAAACCCTGAAAAGAAAAGCATCGGAAGCTAAAACAAAGAATGAAAAAAAAAGAAAGAAAGAAAAAAAGAAAGAAAGAAAGAAAGAAAGAAACTGGGAAGAAAGAAAGAAACTGGAAAGAAAGAAAGAAAAAAAAAAAGAAAGAAAGAAAGAAAGAAAGAAAGAAAGAAAGAAAGAAAGAAAGAAAGAAAGAAAGAAATTGGAAAGAAAGGAAATTTGAACAAAATAAGAACCTGAAAAAAGAAAGCAAAAGCTGGAAAGAAAGAAAGAAAGAAAGAAAGAAAGAAAGAAAGAAAGAAAGAAAGAAAGAAAGAAAGAAATATATAAAAGCAAACAGTGTGCTAAAGACCTATACCTGTTCGGATAAGTTTCTAATACTTTCTATATTGGTGAACATGCCTGAAACTTAGTAGGTCTGAGATAACCCAGGCACCATGCAAAGTCACCAGCGATGTCAGCAACGTCAAGAATGGAGAGGAAACTTCATTGAGGGTTGAATAAATGTGCAGCGATGGCAGGTGACCTTCACGAGGAAAGACAAAAGTGGTCTGCACATCCTTCATGTCTGACGTTGTCCAAATATCTTTAACTGGCATTTCACAAGGATTTTATTTTCACTTCTTGGGTCGGGGATCGTTTTTTCTTTTAATCAGTTCATCCCAACCAAGTCACTAAAACTGAGTGTGTAAGAATTAGAAACAGGAACGAGAACAATAAAAGAAAAAGAATCAAAACGACAATCGATAATAGCTAACGTTGCATTTAAATTTTTGAAGATCAAATTTGATTGGAAAGCGAGAAGCTAGAAGAAAAACGAGAAGTGCAAGAAAAGAAAAAATTGTTAGCAAAAAATATTACGGTTATATCTATCCAATTTAACTGTAAAATGATGAGACCTTGTTTCCAAATTAGTACTGTGCTTAAATTCATAAAGTCTTGGTACCACAGAAGAAAATTCATCCAAACAATTGCCATGAAAGTATTTATAGAAAAAGGACAAGGAAGCTACATTACAGCGGTGGGAAAGTGACTGAAACCGAGGTACCAGATCAGGACCAATAATATTGAATATTCTTCTTTGGATTTTATCAATAATCTCTAAATATATAGCAGGAGCACCAGACCAGATGTGGCAACTATATTCGAAGCATAGACGAATTGCAAACTCATAAATATCTAAGATAGATTCTGAAGAGGAAAATTGTCTAGGACGACACAGTGAACCAACTTTCTTAGCAGCAGACCTAGCAATGGATTCAATTCGGCTTTGTAATCGGCGTCAATTTTGACAGTTTCTAACTGGGATTTGTTTTGATCTTATATGAAAAAAATCTTTCCTTCCTTTCCCCTATTTGATTTGAATGACAGGCGAAGCACTTAAAAAAACTGTTCTTTGCTTATACAACGTTCAACTGACAGTGGACTTAACTTTTTGATTGACAGTGTTTACTAAACAATAGTTTTCAACTTCCCTACATTTTAAATTACTTTAGCACTTTTCCAAATTATAGAAAAATATTTATTTGCCAAATTATAGAAAAATATTTCTTTTCGTTTTAACTTTAATGGGTTGGTGCATAGTTATCAGGCGTTTTTGTAGGCGAGTTATTTGTTAATAAAAATGGCTGTTTCGCTTATTTTTTTAATAAAAATATTTTATTTTCAGGTTATAAAAATGCGTGTCAATAAACATATGCTCTGGAATAATCATTTAAAAATGTTATTGTTGAATTGTTATATTTCTTTTTTCATAATAAATATTATTTAAAAACGCCTGATAATTATGCACCAACCCCAATAGTAAAATCCAGATTACATTTACGAATGCGGAAATAAAAAGCGATAAAATTCAGGACTGTTTGTCATTTTGACACGGTAAAAAAAGGTAATTAGAGAGTTGTCTCAAGGCAATGGGGATGCAGATATTTTTGACAATGCATTCATACAATATATATATATATATATCAATATATATATATATATATATATATATATATATATATATATATATATATATATATATATATATATATATATATATATATATATATATATAAAAATAAATAAAAATAAAAAAAAAAAGTAATTCATCGAGTTTAGAAGAAACCTCACCAGAATGCAGAAAGCACTGGACGGCCGTTTCGTCCTATATTTGGGAGTCATCAGCAGTGCGCGTCCACTACAGTGAATTGAAACCCGGACAGTTACATTGACAGGCAAACGTCATACCAAACTGTACTAACGGGCCTCGGTGACGAAAGAGGTAGCGAACTAGACTCGATATTGCGTCGCTCGTTCACATATTCCGTGGTGGAACTCATCCAAGTTCCTTTACCCATAGGACTGTGCCTCCGAGAGCCACGACTACCATCACCAAGCCGCTCCATCCAGAGCAATAGAAGCCGGTTCAAGCAAGGGTATACAAATGATAGAAATTAAAGAGAATTTGAAATAATTAAGTAATTCATCGAGCCTAGAAGAGGCCTCAACAGAATGCAGTACTGGACGGCCGTTTCGTCCTATATTTGGGACTCATCAGCAGTGCGCATCCACTCCCGAGAATTGAAACCCGGACAGTTACAAAACGTCATACTAACTGTACTAACGGGAGTCGGTGACGAAGAGGTAGTGAACTAGACTCGATATTGAACCGCTCGTTCACATATTCCGTGGTGGAACTCATCCAAGTTTTCTTTACCCATATGACTGTGCCTCCGCAATATCGAGTCTAGTTCGCTACCTCTTCGTCACCGACTCCCGTTAGTTCACACACACACACACACACACACACACATATATATATATATATATATATATATATATATATATATATATATATATATATATATATATATATATATATATATATATATAAAGCCTCGAAAGGTCTTGATGAGGAGGACGGAGTTTACATCAGATACCGTCTCGATGGTGACCAGTTTAATCTACGACGATTAAAAACCCAGACAAAGACCCTGGAGCAACTTATCCGGGACGATGCTACCCTTGTTCTGCTTTACAGAGACTACCAAACATTTTGGCCCTGAAGTCAATTTAATGAAGACAGAGGTACTCTACCCGCCTCCGCCTCAGGATGTGTATCGCCCTCCCCACAAGATTATTGGCGACTGAGCTGAAGCCAGTACATCGGTTTACCTTGGATGTACCATCGCATCAGATGCTGGGATCGACAGGGAGCTCGACAACGGTCAGGCAAGGTTGATCATTGTATTTGGCAGACTGTACAAACGTGTGTGGCGCAAAATTCACCTGAAGAAGGGCACTATCATCAGAGTGTATAGAGCTATCGTCCTCGCCACTCTCCTATGCGGCTCAGAGTCATGGGTCACTTACCGACACCACCTGCGACTCCTCGAACGGTTCCACCAGCGCTGCCTCGCACGATCTTTAACATACACTAGAGTGATTTCGTCTCCAATACTGAAGTTCTTGAAAAGGGGAAGATCACCAGTATTGAGGCCATGCAGCTGAAGTCCCAGCTACGCTGGGCTGGACATGTTTCCTAAAATTTTATTGTACAGCGAACTCTCCACTGACTATCGCGGCAGAGGGATACCAAAGAAGTGATCCAAAGATTGCCTGAAAAATCCTTTGTTGCCTGTCACATTAACCATTGCCAATGTTCAACCCTAGCTGAGAACCGTGACGACTGGCGCCATGCTGCTTTCTTCTTTGAAAATACCTGCAGGGACGCTCTCAGGGACAAGAGGCAGAGGAAGAAATAGTGCAATACTATGCCATTGAGTCCAGGCCGGACTTTTAGCAGCAACTATTGCGACCGAGTATGCCTGCCCTGCAGTGGACTTATCAGTCACAAATGTATCTGCATTCAACGTGTAAAGACTCCTTCGTCATCTTCGTTTTGCGAAGCCAAGCAATGAATATATACGCCTTGGTGGATATGTGTGTACCCATATCTGTGAGTGTATATATATATATATATATATATATATATATATATATATATATATATATATACACTATATATATATATATATATATATATATATATACACTACAGATATGTGTGTATATATATATATATATACATGAACTTGACAGAAGAGTGAAACCTTGCCATCCAAAAAATGAAAAAGAGCTCTCAGAGTCAGTGAAAAAATAATGGAATCAATTATCAACTTTATACTTTGAGAAACTTTTGCAACGAATGCCAAAAAAAAATTGTGCTGCAGTAATCAAGGCTAAAGGAGGATATTTTGACGAGAGCGAGATTTAATCATAAAATGTTTTTCTTCTTTTTGTCATAATAAAATTTCTAATAAAATTCATGTCTCATTCTTTTAACTATGTATAAAAATTTTCTCTTATTTAATGTACAAAACAATTACTTTTTGGATCTATTTAAAACTTTTTAACTGTAGTGTATGTATGTATGTATGTATGTATGTATAAAAAAATAATAACAATAAAAAGTCCCTGATCTGAAATCGAACAATATCAAACAGTTCTAATACCTGTACAGATAAAAGCCTAAAAATCTGACTCTCTTGAAGCCTAAAACATGAGAGGTGATAAGCTGGGGTAATAAATTTGACCTACGATGCCCACTTCACCTCAAAGATCTTAGCACATTTTTTTCCTTGCAATGTCTTTTTCTTTCATTATCAAACTGAGAAAGAAAAAAAACACACACATGTGGCGAAACGCGTCTTTGTTTAAAAAAATTTCCACTTTCTCTCATCGTCTTCATTTTTGTTTCAGATATTACAAATCCTACAAACAAAGAATGAGAGGCGGAGAGAGAGAGGAGAAATATATAGAGACTGACACAGAGAGAGAGAGAGAGAGTAACAGAGAAAGAGAGATGGAGATAAAGGGAAGAGGAGAGAGAGAGTGAGAGATAGACAGGGAGAGAATGAGAGACAGAGAGAGGAGAGAGATAGAGAAACAGACACACATAGAGTAACAGAGAGTGAGAGAGAGTGAGAGGCAGAGAGAGAATGAGAGACAGAGAGTGAGGAGAGAGATATAGTGTGAGAGAGAGACAGAGACAGACAAATAGTAACAGAGAGAGAGGGGGAGAGAGAGGGATGGGGATAGGGAAAGATAGAGAAAGGACAGAGATAGAGATAGAATGCGAGAAACAGACATATAGAGAGATTGAATGAGTGAGTAAATGAGTGAGAGTGAGAAACAGGTAGATATAGAGAGAGGGAGAAAGAGTGAAAGGAGCGAGATAGAGAGTGATAGACAGACAGAGTGAGTGACAAAAGTAGACATATATATAGAGAGAGAGGGGAGGAGAGAGAGGGAGAGGCAGAGAAAGACAAAATAGCATACAGACTGATAGAGAGAGATAGTAATATAGATAGAGGCAGAGGGAGTGGATTTGGCTTTCATGGTTATCGTTTTAGAAAATATAAAACGGTAATCAGGATTCAAATTTCGACTGACGCTGCATTTACTTCGCGCTAATACATTTACGAAAGGCATGAATCCAATTGTTATGGATAGACTATGCAATTTAGTTTTAGTATATAGTAAGAGTCGAGTATAAAGACAACGCTGAACCGGTTCCGTCTGTGTGTGTAAGTATATCATCAGGTGGTTGTCCGTATATTGATTTGGGGTTTTTTTTACGCAACACCAGTTGTAGTGGTAGGAAGGTGGGCAGAATTTAGATTCTTTAAGTATGAATTTTATAAAAGTTGATTATATAATATAGTGTGTTTGACGTGTGTTTAACGATTTTTTTAAATATTTATCAGAATTCCCTCGAAGTATTTCTTACGTAAAGATTTATATCTTTTTAATTAGAGTGGTATTTATAAAATAAGAGTTATGACCAGTTTTGTTCCTGCGTATTACGAGCTAATTTAGAGAGTTGTCCTAAAGTAGGTCTTTCTTATGGTCGTAAATGCGGGCTTTTAAATTCTTTGATGTCTCGCCAATATAACTATTTCTACATTGCGTTTTGTTTGTTTTTTTTCTTCATAAAACTCAGCATCTGATGTGGTGTTGGATCTCCTTTTCTTCTTAGCTATATCTCCGATTGTTTGCGATACTACATATATCAACATCCATCATGTTATCTTTAATGAGAAAGTACTATGATTTATGGCATAACACAGTTAACATTATTTTATGGATTTCCTCACAAGTTAGAACACAATGTTGTAAAGTCCAAGAAACCTTTTTATTATGTCACGGCAATCTGTTTTATGTACACAGAACGAATGGTTGCAAAGACTTAATATGGTTTGTCTCTATACTATTTTTCTCCATATATACCATTTTGTTATATGTACCAGTTAGTCTTAATATATATTATTTTCAGGATATTATTGACACGGTGTATTGATATATTTCATGATTTTTAGTCAGATGTGAACAAAAATATATCTATCTTCCTGAATGTTGAGTGATAACCGATTAACTCATATTTTTCCTTTCTTTCTTTTTGTAGTGATGTGTTTTTCTCTCCCTATTTTCTCTTTATTTTTAACTACAGTACTTGACAAGGGTGTTTAAGACGCACCTCGATTTCATCAGGGAAAAATTATTATAATTGAACAAAACAACACAGTTACCATTAAAATTTTATTCATCTTCAAATCCATAAAATTTGTCGTCTTCGTTATCAAAACCGATACTCATTTTCAATACTTCTATCATCGTCATTAAATAATACGTCATCTTCTGTTCCTTTGAGGGCATTGCTAATGCCACACTTTTTAAAAGGTTTCACAACAATTTCCGGTCTAATATTATCCCAACCTTGCTTCACCCATACGCAGACTTATGCAATGATGGGTCTTTTTATTCTTCCTGTAAGTGTAAGGTCGTTATCAGGCATTGCCATTCACGTGTTCCATTGCTCCTTCATGTTTAAGACTAAGCTGATAGGAGTTGACAGGTAGCTAATTTCGACCGGCTATCGCGAATTTTAAACCTATATATGGCATATAAGACGCAGGGAAATTTTAAAAGATCTTTTTGGTAAAAAAAAAAGTGCGCCTTATATGTCATCAAATACGGTATGTCGGTAATTCTATTATCAAATTTTCTACCGCTAACAATATTATATTGATTGGGGTCGCTTCGAATACTGCATTTCAATCTATCAGAGGATTGACGCTGGTTATCACCCATTTCATTGTAAGTAGAAGTACATTTGAGTACTTGTAAAATCTTCAATAATCTCTAAATATATTAATGCTTTAATAATTTCGTTTCCTATCTACCCGTTTATATATTGAGAAAACAAATTTGATGATCATGAATTTCGATAATAATGAATACTTAATTGGCTCCCTATAGTGGCAAACAGCTTAGATATCCTGTATTGGTGGGTATGCAGATGAAGGACTAATAAAAAATGATGTTACCCTCATTCATCACATGACGGACACTAGATTCAAAAACTATCAGTGACAAGATTTGTCCCTGGAGACTTCAAACGGATATTGTCCTTGCCAGGACATGTCCCGCGTTCAATCATCTGTTTAGATTGACTTTTATGATATATGTTTTCTTTTAATTGTATTTCTCTAAACGATAATTGTTGACCGAAATTTCTGATCTATAGACAATAATGACAAAAACAACACTGCTCCAAATGCGATGATCACGAACTTTTCAAATTATTTGAAGCTGAATTCTTTTTTTTTTTAAGTTATTTCCTTCATCAAAAGGGATTTACAATTCTTTGTTGAAACGTTTTTATAAAATTTTCATAACTTTTTTCTTTCACAGTTTTAACCAGCTGCTTTGGAGTTGATCAATTTGCACGTTTGAATTACCTATTTAAGGAATGCACATTTCTCGTTGAGTCTTATGCTAGCTTCAGCGGAATGACGAGACTTACGGCTACATCACGTTGAAACAGCGGTTCCAGTACGATCATCGAAGTTAAGCAACGTCAAACGTGATCAATAATTAGATGGGTGACCACTTGCTAGTAGCAAATGTTCTAAGTTTGGATGTGTGGCTGGTTTAATAGATAATGGCTCGGAAATTGAAATCGGAGAGCCGTATCCCATTTACCTTTGAGTTCGTTATATTCACATATGCGTATATAAACTTGTATGAATTGATATCTCACCCCAAGCTATGGGTTAATTAGTAAGACCTGTATCACTAGCTGGGACCGTAATATGTGCTATCATCCTGAATCAGTGTGAACCGAGGAACAGCAGCAATTAAGAGTTAAGGTTCTATACTCCTCAAAACTTCCAATCTTACTGTCTGATGTAGTTTACTTGAACAAGGCTAGTACGCTAAAATTTTCCGTTACAGTAGCTTATGACTTCATCCTTGTACAGATATCGACCTTCCGAAAGATTCTATCTATCCAATTTCACTCACATGACTTGGATAAACCCGTCTTCAGGTACTTTCAAAAGATAACGTGCGCTGTGATCGTTTCTTCTGACCAGTAACATCAAGAAATCATCTCACTTTCAAACCGACCATAGTGAGATTCGAACTAGGGCTTCAGAATCAAAAAGTGAACATTCTAACCACTTTGTGGGAGGGAGGAAGAGAACTGACAAGATGGAAAAGTGATGCATTAAGGAACTTCTCTAGATACCTGCTTTATTGATAGAATCCATCTCGTACATAAACTTTGGGGGAGAAATACGTAGGTCATAGTCCACGTTGAACAGTTAGGTACAGAGTAATTCAGCATTTAAATCTTGTCGTCCGATTCTAAAAACAACGGTCATCTGCGTAAATCTTCAGTAAAATGAATGGAGCACTTTGGCTGCTTGGCGTTTGTTTACGTTTGTTGATACGCTGACTCATTCTGTCGAATGAAGATGGCTCTAACTGACATCAAATCGGTTGGGTTTCGATCCGGACTCGAGGCATTCGGTTGTCTAGGGAGCTGTGATACAGTGAAACAGTACTGTCTACGAATGACATATACATATATATATAGAGAGAGAGGGGGAGACAGAGACAGAGACAGTGACAGACAGACAGACAGACAGACAGACATGGATATCGGCTTGGATTGAGGAATCGCAGAGCCAAGTTCCATATTCCTGTCGGATCCATTACAATCACTTACGTGCTAATACCTATGGGAAAAGTTTTGAATCCTCTTCTTCCTCTAGCTGTGCAGGAAAGACTGGGTTCTATAGCATTGGATGGCTCTAGAAGGGCATCTCTGAAGTCAAAACCTGTGGAGGGTCGTTTGGGGACCTTGTGGCACGTAGTGCATCAGCTCTCTGTATTCGGCCCTTCAAAAAGTGTGGATGATTCTGCACAAAACCTTCACTACTATAAGCAAAATTCATATGCTGGTGTCGGGCTGTGGTTACTTAGGAACTTATCTGCTTGACCCTCATACATCGAATTCGACGGAAGAGTCGAGTATATATATATATATATATATATATATATATATATAATTTATTCGAAAATTATAACATAAATATGTTATAAAATCTACAAAAATAGTTATTTTGTTTCAACACTTCTAGTGTTGTATCAAGTGATGGTGTTGAATGTAGAAGAAAGAGTATTTGCTCTACTCTGTATTGAGCACTCTATTAAGAATAGTATTTTTTGGTTATTGGAATTTATTCCATATACCCCAATTATATGCTAAGATATATATATATATATATATATATATATATATATATATATATATATATATATATATATATATATATACCATTTATTTGATTCAAGAATATAACCAATGACTGTTTACCTATAGTTGGAAGTATGAAACTCGATAAATATTTGGCTATAGCCTTAAGGATAAATTCAACTTTCTACCTATTTACTCAAGTCCAACCCCTGACCAATATTTGTCAGATGGCTAAAGTATAATAAACGATAACATTTTTCGATATTAAACAACCCAAACGGGGTTGATAAGTCATAAAAATCCACCAATCAACTTACTGTGATGTAAATTTGATTCTTGATTCTCCTCCTGAACGCAAATTTTGATTAAACATATTTTAGCTTTTAAAATGTCACAATTTTTTAAATTATTCATTCGCTTTTAAAATATCGCTTTCCTTTTTTTCGTTTTTCTCTGTCAAAATCCGATAATTTCATGCGTTCATATTTATTTTTATATTTGCTTCATGCTTCATGAATAAATATGTACAAACAATAATTGCGCCTCCATGAATCACCCGAGAAATGGAGACAATAGCCCCATATGAAGTGAGTTACGGGAAGCGACACTGCTGTTTTTGTTTAAATGAATAATATGTAACGTCAACCCAGGACGAAATTATATGGTTCTAATTTTTCCAGGTTACATTCATTTTTGAAAAGTGACGGCAAAATTCTCCAGTCTTACTCTGGGTTGTTTTTTTAATGGAAACTACGTCACAGAAAGCAAAAAAAAAAAGGACAAACC